TCTGCGTGCTGAAAATGGTGATCCGGACGTAAGCTGCGAGAAGAACAGTGCTTCGCAAAGCCAAACTATGGTTTTGTATTCAAGTGTGCTTTACACTTGGCGTACGCATGAAAAAAAGTGTTCAGTGTCGAGGGGCTATGTCTATCATAATCACAATAGTGAATGAAGTTTCACAGCAATAACCACGATAAGATTACAAGAGAGGCCACTGTGGAGGGCTTCGAAAATTGTGGCCATCTGGCGCTCCTTAATGTGCACGGACACAACAGTACACGGGTCTCTACCATTTTGCCTAAGTTAAACGCAACTGCCACGGCCGAGCTCGAACCATCGACCTTTGGGTCAGCCGCCGACGACTGTATCTCCTGTTCCGCCGGAAATGGCGTTATTAGCTTCTTCAAAAGAAGCACGTCATGAATATGTAAGTGAGTGGTGAGCCACCAAGCAAACAAGAAACCATTCAAGCTCGCAACGCTACACAAAGAGAAAGGACCGAGCACGTCTATGCTCTTTCACTGCTCAATAGTTGCATCGAGCATCGAAATGTAATTTATCGCATGTATTTATTATATGAGTTCTGCTTTCCCTAAAGGCTCTATCGATGCGTTCCAATACATATAAATATAATTAAACTGTTGCTCCTCTTCATTTCACATCCTTCGGCAGCTTAGCATTACTGTGCCAATTGCAAACGCCATACAAGGATTAGCGGTAAGATGAGTCTGTTAATTGACCGAACAAACAGCTCCTCTCCGCAAGCTTGGCTTCAGCAGTTCGCAGTACACGCTAACTAAAGAACTCAAGAAAACTAACAAGCGGCTGTAAAGCACACAGAAGACGCAGGATACGGACGATAAGCCAGCGCACGCACTGCCTTTCGAAGCTCTCATGGTGAAGTCTGTTTGGGCCTTTGCCACAAACGAGTCTTGTGCGGTGAGAGGGAAGACTTTTTTGCGGGCTCACCACAGCTTCTGGGTTTATAAAAGATATTATCCTCATCCTAAGCCATCAATGGCGTCACACAGAATCACCGCTTTTGTTGATCTCCACGAAAAAATGCGGATGGATTCAGTTTCCCCTCCCCCTCGTGGGTGACGTTCGTTTTCAAGCCAGCATATTGAAATCTTCTTAATCATATAGAGCTAATATCACATGTGGGGTAACTAATTTTTACAAAGAAGTAAAAATAGAGGTGCACGGAAGCTTTTGCGCACACCGTTAATTTCTTAACTATAGCGCTTTTTGCTTCTGGATGAAACCAGCAGCGCTATTTTTGAGAGTTTCTTCGGCAAACTTCTTGTGCTAATGCAATGTCCGGCGGCGGCGGCATGTGCACCACTGTTGCCAGTGTACACTTCCACGGAATACTTCTCCGGTGCCGCTCAAGATCGCCGTTCCAGTTGCGTCTACAGTGATTCCAACCAAGCTCTGTAGATGGCTCAATACCACACAGCGCATTAATTTGCAATGGCCCACGCAGTCACCTCTTTGTGACTGCGTCCACTTTATTCACGTCGTTTCATCGCCTCGGCAGCATGTGACAAGTTCCCATGATGAGCGTTACGCACGGCTACCGATATCCTCCCAAGCCCTCTCACCTGCCTGCTCTCAACTGCGTTTAAGAACACCTGATAGCTTCCCATCTGCCATTTATGAGCGTCAGGCATACGACCCATGGCAGCGGTCAGTATGGCATCAAGGAAGAAGTGGTTAGCGTGTCGATCAACTTGGCCAACACTGTGCAGTGCCAGCCGCGGAACGTGCCCGACAACGCTGCCTACGACGTAGACATCAAGCACCAGCTCCTGAGCATGCCTTCCTACAGAAATGGTCACGCCAAGAAACGCCCCTTGCTTGTCCGTGCAAGCTCCTCTTAAATCTTTGACTTTGTGGATAAGTGGTGATTTTGAGATGTGAGGCAGCTTAGGGTCGACCTTAATCCGAATAGACGGCATGAACGCCCTTAAGGCACATGCGTATTCACATCCCCCTCGTACCTCTCCTAGGCTCTCCCCTCTTTCGCCTCGCAACGCCGACGCAGGAAGCATCTGCTAGTGTACACTTGCTGCCCCCTCTCTCTCCTGTAGGCATTCCTCAAAGCAGCGTTTACATCCCCTCTGCGCATCCACTCCCCCTTTTTCGTTTCACAATGCCGACGCAGCCAGCGTCTTTTAGAGAGCTTCTGGATTGATAAAACCGACTGCTCGGGCTGCACAACAGTGTACTGACCACTCCATGTATAGTTCACTGACCACTCCATGTGACCATATATAGGCACTGCATCTTTACCTCCAAGGTAGTGCCGGTGAGAGATTTGTTTTTGTGCATTGTTGAGCTCTAAAAATTTGCATCGTGCAGAGTAACTAAAAGTGGACGGCGGGTCTCTGTGCCCAATCGGAGTCATCTGTCTATTTATGGCCCATTAGCAGCAATTGACATGTTTCAGTAGGAAACACCGGCCCATCACTGCGTGGTTTGTGCCTCCCCAGGTTTAAATCCTGCGCAACGTCGAAATGACAGCCAACGTATACGTCACCGCCAGTGTAAGCGTAAGGGGGGCATGCTTCACTTCTACACAATGTTTCCGTCAGCAAAAGATGGTGTGTTTTTTATCACTCAGATAGCAATTTACACATTCGCCTGAATCATTGTTACCATGGTAACGGCAGCACCATGGCTCGCTGGTTACTTGAATAGCGCACAAAGAATGGGGAAGTCTCTGCATTTACAACAAGAAAAATTAACACCTTGCACTAGAAATGCAGCAATATGCTACTGGCTTTCTTTTGTGCCCAGCAAAAGATGGCGGATTAGACTTAAGGACTTGTTCACAGATGGCACTCAATGTTCTGAATATCTCCTATTTCGCTCTGAACTGCTAAATCAATGATGCAAACTATCTTTCGAGAATGAGAGAATTGCTGATGGTCTCACCAGCGATGCACAATACGGTGCAAAAAAATCATTTACAGTGTCTCGCTTAAATTCAGGGACTACTTGCAAGCACTTTTAAAAGCCCATAATAATATGAAGTTCTTGCTTTATGATAGATCGCGTGACACGTGACCATTGCTGATAATAAATATGCCACCGAAAGCAGCCAGTCAATGAGAAACACTGCATAAGAGCACAAAACCTTGTGAATCCAAGAGCTCATGCTATCATGCAATCAGTAACATTCAAAACAAATGAGTTCATAATAATAGATGTGACCATTGTTCACAAATCTAAGATGGTAAATAATGTTCCACGGCACGTGGCATACAATACAAATTGTAATTACTCTAGAAAGAAACAAGCAAAAATCCTGACAGGAATTCCGCCTGCAGTGGCCGCCATCCCAGCTCACATACAGCTATAAGTGAACACCAGAAAAACCAACTTACGCGGCACTGAAAAACAAATGACTGAAACTCAGCAGCTACTCGAAATTGTCCGAACACAGTATTAAGGTTCTAATGGCTTTTACATAGTAGAGCTGTGCATGATGTATCAAAGTACGGAACACCACAGCCTGTTTTATGCAGGACCCTTAGTGAAACTAAAGGCTTCATTTTTTTTTTCAAAAGGTGCCAGAGTAATTATTGCTCGTAGAAGAGCTTCAGCCGATCATTATTGATGACACAATATCAGTCAAGCCAACTCGACACAGGGTAATATAACGTACAATGCAAAAGATCTGTAAATCAGCCCCTAGTTTCTTCGTTTCCTCCACTCCTGCGGAAAAGTTTTTAGAACATATTGAATGTCACCTGTCGATTGATAGCGTCCGGTATGCCATAATACAGAATCTGGCACACGCTGGAAAATTGTTTGTGTTTCTTATAAAAAATAATTTGGACAGTAGTAGAATATTCGCAGCGTGTGGTGTTTAGCCTAACACGATATGGTTAAGGTTAGATCATCCATCATATTTGCAGGAGTTTTTCTATAATGTGCGCTAGCTCTGTGTGGAAGGCTTATTCTATTTGGAATTATTTTTATAGTACCGTTCAAATTATGCACCTTCTATAGCAACCAATAATCACGTCGACGCATTTATATATCTGAGAAACTCTTAAAAAAGGTCCGAAGAAAGAAAGGACTTTCTTATTGGTAGCTAAGCTGCTGGCATTTTCAATCTAATAAAGCATTGCTGGTTCACATCGAAACAAGCTAGCTCACCAACAGCCGTTGGGGCAACAGCTTCATCAGTTTATCATGTGATTGTGCGAATAAAATGGATTCACAAATAAAGTACCTGTCCTACGTACCGGTTGTGTTGTTAGCAGTTCTATAGTCAAGCGCTATTCAACCATAGAGAACAGGAAGTAGTCACCAGAATGTGTCTTGCCAGTACATGTTTTGATTTCGCTTGTTTGGCGAGAACGACACACATCGAAATTGTTTGTCACGTACAATGAATGTCTGCGCAATTGCAGCAGTTGAGTTTCCCAATATGGCAGCAAGCTTACGTGTACGTGAAAATAGGAGCTTTTGCGTATATGTGAGGTCAACGGCATACTCACTTCTCAGCACTGGGGTGACAATATCTTTAGGGCAAATTGTACTAAGTTTATATGTTGTGTTTCCATAAGTGTCCACCTATTAAATACTTAGCATCTGCTTAGTCGCCCCATTTTCAAGTTAGGTGTTCACCGGATTTTTTGCGTATGGCACCCAATTTGAACCCTTATTGTTACTCCGGCAACCGCTCCGAGCAGGGTAGAGGTTTTACCAAGAGAAAGCTATTTGGTTAAGAAGATGCTTAGGAACTAAGTGCTCAGTGTTTTTCAACCTAACTGCTTGATTCAATGAAGTCTCCTTTCTCATTAGCTTCTCAATGGGTGAAGGGTGCTTGAACTGCTGTTGAATGATACTGAGGCCTCCTGAAATTCCCTGCTTTACTCGCAGGCGAAACTATTAAGAATAACACAAATTTCATGCTGGCTAGGCTCTCGACTGGATGAAGATGCGACATTATCATTGCTCGTAATCTTCGGGCCCTTTTTGTTATGTCCTCATTGCCACAAAGACTTCCACCATTCCTCCCACCGCAGAGGTGATGGCTTCTTTTCCGTGTGACCGCTTTCGTGGAACATGAGTGACATCGAGCCATTGCCTTCTGTTTCGCCACCCGCAGTTTGGCGCTTGCGTCGTCTTCCATGCTGCTGCTCCATTTGGTCGTGTTGCTGACTGGTAACTTCGACGCACAATACTACGAAACTGCTGGCGCAGGAGTGGCGTTCCTGACCTACAGAGAAAACCACCAGAAAAATATATTGAAGACAGTGATCATGGCTGTAGAACAACTCCTTCCTTTGTCGACATAACATGCTACAGAAAGAATTAAATATTTCATCAGATTATTATCCCGCTTCTCTTTTTTGTGCTGTTTTTATTGCAGAAACATGTATGCTTTATGGCACTGCTTTCCGTTTGTCTCAGCGAAGACTCATTCGTATGTTGACACTGACTGTCGTGGAGTCCCCGAAACAATAAATGTATTTTGAGAACCATAAGATAACACACTTTTGAAAAAGCTAAAAAAACGTAGCAAATCGAAGATAACAGCTAGTGGCTGCAGTCACTAACTTTACCAGACCGTTATTACCAGTTTGTTACCTGTTTACTACCTGTGTTCATAAACGGTTATTATTTCAAAAGTGAAGGGTTCCAGTACCAGTAAGTTTTAAACGGGAGCAGAAGAAGCAGGAGCAGATGTCTCTATTGTGTGGAAGGAACGTAATAGACGAAAAAAAATATGCGAAGCTGTCCTCATCAAGAACTTGGGCGCTGAAATATGTGTCAGTAAAGCTTTCCTGCATATCAGTGATAAAAATTTTAGTACCGTAGTTATCCATGATTTTCCATCTAGCACACGTATCAACATCCAGTTAAAATAACGAACGACGCGCAGCAACTGGTCCATGCGGTCAGGCCTTAAAGTTATCTTACCTAGTAGAGGATAAGTGGGCTTTTGTTATTTTCGTGATTTTATTTGTGTGTATAACTTCATCAGGATGAAGGCAAAGTAGTGTGGTGTTAAAGAATTCATTTAAGACTTGTTCAAGTAGCCATGGAATTGACTCACCGAAGGGGCTTATTGCCTCACGAATTCACTACCCTAAATAGTTTTAGAATTGTCCAGTATACGAGCGTTGTTACAAAGATTGGTCGCACGCTGCACTCACATTCTCTTTTCTCTCGTTCTGATGAAAGCACTGGAAGCTAAGTAGAGAATGATGGCACAGGAAAAAAAAACATCACGCACACCTTGTGACCTTGAGCACTTTTCTTTCTTTTTTTTCTTCGAACACGCACATTTTAGGCGAGATTACGCGCGCCTGCGTGGGTAAGTCGTTACCTCCCGTGGTGGACCAATAATGGTCGAACACACCATGCTAAAAAGAGCCGATGGCTGATACAATGGCTGTTACGAGTGATTTTTGAGTTTATAGTGACATCTGTCGAAAGAAGGGAAAGCAATTTTAGCTGACTTTGAGAACTTGACTTTGATATCTAGATAAGTGATCGTGTCCGGAAAAGTTCTATATGCTTCGTGTCCTCCTTTCAACAGCTACATAAATTTTAATTGTGTGTTGTGAACGACTACAGTTCGAAACATGTTTTTCTTGCGTGTGGCAAAATGTGTGCATGTGTGTGCTTCGACCTTAGGCATCTTTAAAGTACCGTGACATTGAGGTGGACACGTGTGCATCACACAGCGTGCTATAGGTGGAACTTGCGAAGCTAGCGATTGCTCCTAGCTGCTAATACATTTTGTCTGAGTGTGGCTGAATAGCTGTACCTTAACTGTGCAAGTGGTAGGTATGATTTCCTGCACAATTTGACACTGCTTCTTTTCACAATGTTAACCTTGCAACAGCTTGTTCTCGTTAATGAAATTGTATGCACCTCACCGCCCTTTGGTGGTAAAACTTCGCGAAGTACCTTTACGTGTTACGATCATTATAAAACAGGTCCTACCGCAAGCTCCTAATACATTGAAATGTTTATCTGACATAATAAATTCTATAGGCCTGTGCGAGATTTGCTCAAGAGATCTGTGGTACGTCCATTAAAGGAATATTTTCTTCATTGCTAAACACTCACAACTATGTCCCACATACTTCATGGTATGCTTGCATAATCATGTTTCTCTGCTGAAATGTAAAGTTTGAAAATGTATTGGTCTTAGATTGCAACACAGCTTTACGGCCATTTTTTTTCAAGTTGTTGTCGTGGGAGGAATTATACAACTTAAAAAATCAGATAAAATCAATTTCTCCAAATGAGTAATGTATTGTTAAGTGCGGTCAACAGCTTCTTATAACTGTAAACAGTGCTGCCGTCACATCTCACCAAGCAGTCGCGCCTGCGATCCCAAAAGTGAGGAGGCCAGACCATATCGAGCAGGCGCGCCCGAGTGCCACGCATCACAGTAGTTCTCCATGTCGCGGGACCCCAGCACGTCAGCACCGTGCCATACCATTTTCCGGTGCCTAAAAGAAGATAAGAGATGATTTTTTTGTGAAACACAGGTGCAGCGGGAGTGAAAACGTGCGCAAGCGGAATTCAACAATTCAATCACAGGATCGGATTCGATGACTCGCAATACGCCTCGTATTAGTGTTCGTCAATTATTGTTCTTTGTATCCTTTTTGCGCACTATTGCCAACGAGGCATTATTAACGTAGTAATGTACAAGTGAGAGGCTAGTGGTGAACATGAGCATGCTTAGCAACAACGCTTCCGACGATCGAACATTACCGATGAGCAAAAGGCATGTGAGTGGCCTATGGTGGATACAGAGGGGACGCGGTATAAGGGCGATCACCCTTCCCCCCCAGAAGCCTGTGGCAGCACTCGCCCACTCTCTTAAGTGCTTGTCCTACCCCTCCAATCATCAATTAGAATAATCAAGTGGAACCACTTGTTGTGTTCACACAATAACTATGTTTATATTACGGCGGGGTTTTAGAGTGCTACTAAAACAAAAAAGTGACAACTCCGCCCCCATTCGGTGTTAATTCCTTGCAAACCCCCCTGAAATGAGTCGCTGGATCCGCCCCTGGTGACAAACAACAAAGTTGTTAGACACATCATTTTTCGAAGGTGCAACTGCGTTACAAAGCAAAAATACAGAAATAGTGAAATACCGCACTTTGCCCATCTCTTTGTTTGTTTTAGAACAGTCAAATTTTTTTAAAAATGAACGTCACCCAACTAGCCCAGTTTTTGTGCTCTTCTTGGAGATATCAGAATGCAAAAATTTTTTAGACAGACATGATGAAAGAAAAATAGTGTGGGGGCTAAGCATTAGCTGTTAGAAACTATCCTAGGATGCCTACTAGTTGTGAAGGCATCCAAGTCTTTAACTAGCGTGTTCTGAGTAGTAGGTGCGTCTTGAAGAAAAAAAATTAAGTGGTTTTTGTTTGCCTTGTAGGGTACATGGCGAAGCTTTTTGTACGGAATTAGGTAAGGAGATAACAAATTAGAAAGAAATATGAAACACGTAGCACTCGCCACACATGAGTGAAGAAATAGGACAGAAGAGATATGAAAAATGAGGGAGGTGGTCGAAGGAATTCGAGCACACGGCATCAATCGGCGAGATCTACGTGGCATCCGGACATCGCAGACGGCGGGCCGATCGGCGAGGGCTACGCTAACGTTGCAGATCACGGACGACACAACCGTTCAGCATAAATCCAGCAATCAAGTCCTCCATTTGCAGCGGTAACTTTTCTGTGTGTCGACAATATATGAACGAACGAATTGTTGCCGAAAATAAAGAGGGGGGGGGGACGTTTGTCCTGTTGGGGAAAAAGCTGCCGTGTCCTGCGAACACGCGCGAAAGTCGTCCCACTCACTAATCTGTGACGTGTGTATGACATAGTCGGCGATCACCATTAGTCCAGTGCAACGTACCCGCGCCTTACGAAAGAGGACTTTAGTGTCAATTTCAAGTTTATTTGAGCTAATCTCTAAAGGTGTGCGAATATTCGAAGTTTCGAATATTTTATAGCGAAAGTTGTATATGGCTAGGAGAAGCAAAAAAGCCATTCAGCATAGGTGTCAAGAGCGCTCTCCAATGTGTCTGCTATCAGTTACGTTGTCATCAGCGTCCCATCCAATAAAGCGCGCCATTGGCTGCGTTGTGAGTGACGTCGTCGATTTCGTGGCGGCCATGCCGCTGAGCACTCGTGCATAAGTTCCTACGGAGAACTTCCATATGGGTAAGCTACGGACAACTCGAGAAAAATGCTGACAGCGGAAACGTTAGAGAGCTTGAATTTATCGGGCCGTTAATGCCGCCCGAGCACGAAAATAGGCCCGGCAGGACGAGTGCCAGCTGCAACTGCATACTGATGATGCAGCAGTTTTCCAAGCCGCGCTAAATCACGAACAGGAATGCAAACGCCGGTGGCAGGTGGATCCTGCAAACCAAGCCATCAAATTACCACTCGATGTCGAACACTTGCAACTGCGCCATGCCGAACAAGCGGGTTGCGTGCATCACGGCGTCAACGTGACGATAGCAGGAGTGCGTTCGCTGGGGCCTCCAGCGACACTCTGATTTCACCTGTGACGACCATGATCACCTGTGGTTCGAAAACAATCACTGTATTTGACGCATTGCGAAACGCATTTAACTGCTCTCTACACTCCTCCATGAGCGTTATCGTGCGAGGCACAACATGTGGCAGGTGAAATAAACACTGTGGTAAACCCACACTAAACGTGTTTTTATCCTCTTTAAAAAGCACGAACATGTAACCAATACTTGTGGAAGGCTGTAGTGCAACGTCGTGTTGAACCCACTGCTGAACATTAGGGCAGCACGATTCAGCCTTCGCTGGCTAAGCATTCGTACGAAATGCTTGGGCGGTGATTTTTAACACGAAACTCTTTTGTACTGGAATCCACCATGGCTCCGCTGACGTATATTCGTCAGGGAAGTCACATTGTAAAATATATACGAATATTGCAAAGAAAAACTGGAAGACAAGCATCTGTCGCACAGAATCAAACCAGCAACCTTTGATTGATTGATTGATATGTAGTGTTTAACGTCCCAAAACTACCATATGATTATGAGAGACGCCGTAGTGGAGGGCTCCGGAGATTTTGACCACCTGGGGTTCTTTAACGTGCACCCAAATCTGAGCACACGGGGCTACAAGATTACCGCCTCCATCGCAAATGCAGCCACCAAAGCCAAGATTCGAACCCGTGACCGGCAGGCCAGCAGCCGAGTACCTCAGCCACTAGACCACCGCGGCAGGGCACCAGCAACCTTTCCATTCTTAGCGCGCGGCGCTAACAACTACGCCACAAAGCGTATGTAGTGTGCAATGCTAAGGGAAAACCATTATTATACTCCATACACCACTTGGCAGACCTCAGAACTTTGAAACTTTAACATGTTTTTCTTATAAGCGGCGAGATGGCACGGCAGGTTCGCGTTGGGCCATTGCCACATAGATCATTTGCCTGCTCACTGTGTCGGTCAAGGGCTCTGACATCAATCTGTTTTGACCCGTGTGTTTCGCTACGCAGACGTGCATCCGCTTGCTCTCGTCACTCCTGCAGACATGGATTGTCAAGTCGAACGAGTTTTTGTGGCGTGCCAGTGGTCATGTTGGCGACTTGAGAAGACCATCTCTTTCTGTTTTTGTGAACTGCAGCGTGGTTACACCATGCGTTTAGAGCACTGGACATTCGCAATCTCTACGGCTGAAAACCCGAACAGTTGGGTGATGCTGCGTGGCGACTTGTCACGGCAAAGGGACCGATGCTGAGAGTATTCTCGTTTTCTAAACACAACTGAAGAACAAAATGGGAGCGGGTCGTTGGTCAAGCTGACATCGTCATCCGTTTTCTTCGTGATCCAAAGGTACATGTGTCCGTAAGACACATTTTTAAGTCATTCCAATGGCCCCATCACCCCCATGTTCCTTTCTTGCTCCAAAATAAAGGTGTCATATGTACTTTTGACTTGTTGGCGGAGGCCCTGGAAATAAAATATTAAACACGCAATGCATAAAAGTTTTAGAACAGGAGTTTTTCCTTCAGGGTAAGTAAACATTTTGCAACTGGCGATTAGCGCCACTAACTTGTATTACCTTTGTTCACTTGGTTGATAAAAATGAAATGAATGCTGCTGCATTACTTAGTGCGTCGTTTGAATGCATAGTATTATTGCCGGTCTTGATATCACGTTATTGCAGTATTACTTCGGTCAGCACCTTAGTCTAATATGTTTCCTTGAAATTTAGATGCGTGTAGACACTTACGGTAAAGCACTTTATTATTTGGTTTACAAGTGGGTATTCATACTGCCACGTTCCATTTCCCAAGTTTTCGTTATCGTCCCAAAACACCACACGATTCTCAGCGCAAACCGCGCCTGAAGTTTTCGAGAAGGTTCCGGACTGTAGTAGATCATTTCGATAAGATCACGCCCACTGTAGAACAGTACAGATTGTTCTGGAACCTACGCCACCACCAGCGATAACGCTAGAACGTTCGACGGCAAGAGTATAAATGCCGACGCGCTTCGCCTCTTGTCAGTTGTTGTTGATTGAAGTCCGACGCTCCGTTCGCCGCTATCAGTCCGAGACTGCTATCTGTCAAGACTGCTGCTGTAATTAGACTTTACGTTTACTGGGCGCAGGTTCGCCCAAATAAACAGTTAAATCCCAACACGAAGTTTCCTGTCTTCGGCCACGTCACGACCCCGTGACAATACTTCAAGCTAGAATAATTAGGAATCACTACTAAAGATATACCAATCTAAGAACCGGTTGTGCGATAGAAGCACTCATGGTGGCTACAAGGAATATTATAGACACCGTATAAACATGTTCCCAGGCCCTAAGTTATATGACCGACTACGCACCACTGCGAGAGGGGCCACTGCAAAAGAGGAAAAGCCACTTCTTGTGTCGGTCACAGAACATTTTTGTGAAACGAAAGATTTTGTTTTCTCTTCTAATGGTCATCGCCGTGATATTGTGCAGAATACCATGTTCGTGGATGCACCGCACACTCTACTCAAAAACTACGTGTCTATGAAGACAGCTGTTAAAAAGAGTACAGATAAGACTGCAGAAACTTTGCAAAGGAGATGAAAACAGTTTTTAACAGTTTTTTGGCGTGCTCTAGATATTCTGTGCGTGCGTGTGTAAATAAATAAAGAATGAACAAAATTTACCGTATTCATTTTGTCAATTTTTCGGTCCATAAACTTCATTCCTATAGATCGACCACAAGTTTTATAGCGTCAATCTTTGGCATTTTTGTGGAAGAAATGGCTCGCAGGTGAGTCTCCAAATGCTTGCTGCGAACGCTTTATCTTTTAACGGGAGATGATTGTAGCATTGGATTCAGACTCCCGTACGCACTCTTGCTCGGGAAAAACGAGTGACGTCACGGCGGCAATGAGAAGGCCTGATAATCTTCTAGGTGGCATTGGTTGGGCGCGCTGTAAAGGTTG